GAACTAGCCATATAACTTCTACTTTGCAAAAAGTTGCATTTACTCTTTAAAGTGAACGCCAAAAATTGGTTCTTTACAGGAATTTCAAATTTATATTCCTCATTGTTTATCATAAATAATAGTGAAATCGTTTCAGTCATTTTTTAGAATACAGATTTGTCGATTACCTAAATCATTGTATAAATACAAATCTAAAATGAGGTTATGGACAAATGACAGCAAATATTTACGAATATTTATGTTCCATTGAGAGCAATTTTCACAATTTCACATGGATTTCTTCAGTTTCTCGTGCAACACTCGTGCAGTACGAGTTTTGCCAATCGAAAACGCTATCAGGTTTACTCCCATAGAATAGACAATATACATTTGGGAATCTCATACGCCCTTTGTTTATATGATCTAAGCATACGCCTATGTTTAATTGTATGGTTTACTCCGTGCAATTTGCATCAGCTGTGTTTGACTGTCAACATATAAATCCAGTGGTTACTTTATGAAAATGGTATGTTGTTGTTTTTACAAGAAATGTGGAAGTCGTAGTGGACAAATGAAAGAAGGAGTATCGTTTCACAGGTAATTATATGTTATTTTGTTTTAATGTGAGTAGGTACACTTAGAACCTGGTGGTCAATCACTGTGCATGAGAATGTCTTAAAATTGCCAAATGAACTGATAAATATGTGCAACAAAGGAAAGATACTGCTTTTATTTTAATTCCTGCGTTTTTTTAAATAGATATTTCTTGACCAGTGGCGTAGGTACATGCATTGTTCCATTTGTAGCTCTACTTGTAGGTATTGTATCGGGCGATCAAAAATGATTGGCTGTCAAGTCGCCTTTGGAAGTTCAAGTTAGATACGATTTCCCATGTAAACAAAAATTCCAAAGGCGACTAGAGAGCCAATCATTTTTGATCGCATTGTATAATATGATAATAAACAGAAAAGGTATGCATAAATTTATAACGTATCGGTTCATTTGTTGTGTCATTAGTCAGTACTAATACTAATCAATGCTAATACCGGGCCATCAAACCTAAGTTGCTGTCTTTGGAAATTGAAGCTAAGTACGATTTCACATGTAAACCAACATTCCAAAGATGACTCGACAGCAACTCATTTTTGATCGCATAGTACTAACACACAGATATGGAAAAAGATTATTGCAGATCTGACTCTCCATAAGCTAGATAGAAACCCAATAGCAATAGTGAGTGTGAAGTGAGATAGAACACTCACCAAATTAAAAGCGTCGATGCCATTTATGCGTCTTTCGCTTCGACTAGGGTCTAGGGAAGAAGGGGACTGATAATATCTTATCAAGGGCAAGACTAGAATCATTTAATTTTTACTGTCAATGTCAACAGTGGTAAAGTTGTGTCTCCCTCACACTCATATAATTTTTATTGGTTTCTTTCTAGCTTATACTTCCAATAATTTTTTTCCATACCAGTGTATTTATTGTTTTATCGATAGATTTAAAACAATACATTGGAAGTTACCATTTGTCGAACATTGGATTTTTGTGCCAATGCATATATAGCTATGGATAGCTATGTTAAAACTAAATAAATTAGAATTCACAGTACAATTTTGTATATTGTAATAGGGATAGGAATTTTGGGCAGAAAGTTTACTGAATTAAAAAGACCATTAGATGGGCAACACTGTTTGAATAATAAAGCATAAGTGTGTATGTATTGTTTTTTCTCCATTTCTCATGGGCCAATGTCGATCATGATATTTTCAAATTAAAAAATTTGCACTTTTTGTACCTATAGTCAAATACGCAGTAAAATATGTTGTAATGTAAACTAAAGTAGTACTATTTCTTAGATTTCCAAAAGACGAACAGATGCGTATCAGATGGCTGAAAAATATGAAACAGAAATTCACTCCTACAGCTAATAGTAGGTTATGTTCTCTACATTTTGAAAAGAAGTGGTATCTGCAGCATACTTCTAAGCCCCTGTTATTGGCCCAAGCTGTGCCGACCATTTTTTCTTTCTCCTCGGAAATTAGCGAGGAAATTAGTCAACCTTCTGCATCCCATCAATCTTCTGAATCAGAGCCACCTTCTGTACTGAGCCAGGTGAAACTCGAGGTGAAAATAATCTAATCTTTATTGTATGCTTAATCAAATTGTATGCATTACAGGCTACAAAACTGACTCAGGAATGTACTCCTGTTCCCACATTCATTGAAAAATCATGGACAGAAAAGGATAAAAGCAAGGAAATCCTCCAAAAGAAACTAGAACAAAAGACAGAAAGATTGCGCAAAGCTTCCAGTACGATAAAAATATTAAGACAGAAAGTAAGGAGATACGAGAAAAAAATCAATAATCTTTCATTCATTGTAAAAGAATTGCGGCAGAAAAAAAACGACGGTTCGAGTCCTTGTGAATTTGCAGAATTCATTATTATTGAAGGATAATAGTTTCTGTATTGTATAATATTGCAAATAAATATGTAAATTTTTGGCAGTTCATTTAGAGATGTAAATCCCACCTGAATCGATACCAGTACCGTTAGAACCAGGGCATGTGTTTACATTTTTACATTCTGTATGCTGGGTTGCTGTTACCCGACATCCGTCAATATCGACCCGTACGAAGTATACAGGGTGGTGACTTGCGTAGCGCATCATAGGGATTTCAATGTAAAATTCATAACATGCGATTATTGGCTCCCCAAATTATTTTGGAGCGAAAATGTATTAAGGTTTTTTGTAGAAAACAATTTTTTACGTCAATTAACCGTATTGTTTTAAATTTTTTGCATAATAAAGACGGAAAATTGGAAAAATAAAACCCCCATCTTTTTCAATAATCTGGGATGCCGTGGAATTTTGTAATACAAACACTACGCCAATATCCGTCATGCCATGGAATGTCTGCTATAAAACAAATCAAATTCTATCAAAAAGTATTATATTTATAACAGCGAATTCAACATGAAGAAAGACCAAATTACTAAAAACGGTTTTCTAATATATAAGTAACAATTTACAATAAATGTTTGAATAAGTCACCATTAACTGCAAGACAGTAACCAAGTCGATTATAAAAGCCATTGCGAACTGCTGCTAATTGATAACTGGATATCTTTTTGTTTTAGAAAATTCCATGGCATCGCAGATTATTGAAAAAGATGAGGGTTTTATTTTTCTAATTTTCCGTCTTTATTATGCAAAAATTGAAAACTCATCACGGTTGATTGACGTAAAAAATTGTTTTTTACAAAAAACCTTAGTACATTTTTGCTCTAAAATAATTTGGGGAGCCAATAATCGCATGTTATGAATTTTACATTGAAATCCCTATGATGCGTTACGCAAGTCACCACCCTGTATATGTAAAGGAGTGTATGGTTTAAGGTTAAATCTCGGGTTAAGCTTAGTTCTGCTAATATTTTAGAGTGACCGAAATAATCAAATCAAAAACAGTAAGATGGTTGAAGAATGCGTGAAGAAAGACATAATTGAAACTGCTGTTGAAGGAAAGAAAAAGACAGGCAGGCAATTGACAGATGAAACGAACGCGTAAGCGAAAATGAAGTTTCATTATAATCATGCGCTTAAATTTGGTGGATAATTTTTTATTTGTTTACGTTGGTACTCTTTAAAACCGAAAAAATACTGGAACCGGAACCGAAAATTATTGAAGTCGTAGAACCAGAAGCCTTAAAAAATTAATCTACTCAATTAGTGCGAAACCGCGGGAACCTATATAATGCATATGGGTTTCAATCCCTAAAGCAATAGTTGAAATTACTCTTCTGAAGACATCAAGGATAGGTAGTTGACAGAGGTGCAATGAACACGCAAATTAAAAAGAAGTTTCAATTAAACCTAACAAATATGTTTATGCAAAATAATCTGTACCTACTTTAATTTATTTATTATTTTTTTCTGTAATGTATTTTTTAGCGCATTTTTCAACGAAGTTGGATGCGCTATTGCATATCACTTTCTCTGTCCATCTACAGTTTTCGACATGTTAAGTTCGTTCTGTTTTTGATTCGGTAGCATGGTAGCTTATAGCTCTGGCTCCCGAGCCAAGAAAAATCTTGACGATTAATGTGGCCATTTGCCGCAGGCTGCGCAATATTAACTTTCTTATTTATGGAAAGATTATTCTTTGAAATTTTAACCAAAGAAACTTTTAGTAAAATAAAACGTACCGCATATTGAAACAAAAAAACTGGAACCGAAACCGACAATGATTTATGTCACAGAACCGGTACCTTAAATTAATTCTCTTTAACCTTTTTACCGATTGCCACTTCAGTTAAAATCTGATTAGGTATCACCTCGTATAAACAAAATAGGTGCACAAATTTGATGGATAAACTGGTTTTTAACGCCACTCCAAATATAGCGCAATGACCGTTCTGCACCTTGGACCTTGATGCTTTAGTGGTAACAATTGATTTAATATTGCGATCACGTTAATCCGATAATGTAATACCACGCAAATATTCACGTACATATGTGTTAACAAAGTAACATACTATTCGTACTGTATTTACGGTTGAACATAAATCCGCCGTCATTTCATGTTACGCGATCTAAACATTACCGCGCTTACGTTACTTAGTTTTGCTTCGAAAGGTGGGCTAAGAATTTAATACGCGCTCAACCTGCATAGATTTGCCATGAAAGAGGTTAATAATACCTCTTTCCCACTCGATTTTTACTTGTATTCACCAAATCTTACACACGAAACAGACCCAACGTAACACCGTAAAATTATAAAATATAAGTTATGGCGCCATTTTCCAAATTACTAATTGGAAATTCACTAACTGAAACAAAATGGAGAAGCTGTATTTCTTCATCTTTCAATCCATTATTCCTCTCGATACCTACCTACATTAAAATATAAACAGTTGTTGTCAAAGTGGCAAGTTAATATACACGATTTTCTGTATATATATATAATTGTATTATTATTTTTAATTTATTAATTAAATAATAGAATTGTTTGTATTTTAGCTTAAAAATTGAAGAAAACAAATCCACTTTACGTAATGGACTTTGTGATTGCTGGGACGTCCGCCGTTAGTGCTGGTTTCTTTACGCATCCGCTGGAAGTGTTGAAAATACGCGTTCAGCTGCAAGGCGAGTTGCGCAAAAGAGGCCAACACGCCGTGCATTATAAGAACTTATTTCACGCCGGATATGTTGTGGCAAAAACGGAAGGAATACTCGCTTTACAGAAAGGTCTTGTAGCCGGACTGTGGGTTCAGTTAATTATGAATGGGCTGAGATTGGGTACGTAATTATACTAGTTATGACCCTTGTGCAACTTTAATTTATAGGTGCTTACCAACTCGCCGACTCGCATGGATATGTAAGGGATAATGATGGCAATTTAATATTCTACAAGAACGTTTTATTTGGCGGTTTAGGGGGTACATTTGGACATTATTTTGCTAGTCCCTTTTTTATGATTAAGACCCATTTTCAATCACAAGCGAGTCAGAGTATTGCTGTCGGATATCAGCATAACCATAAAGGGACCTGGCAGGCTTTGAAGACCATTTTCAAGGAACATGGGGTATGAAATGTGACTAGGAATAGCCTCTGAGAAGACACTCATTTATAGTTGTAGATTAAGGGATTATTCCGAGGAGCCGGTGCATCAATTCCTAGAGCTTTCGTAGCTTCAACGTCCCAGTTAACTGCATTCACATACAGTAAGGAATTTTTAACGAAGCGCAATGTATTAAACAACCACCCATATCTGAAATCGTTCGTTTCAAGTATGGTTGGAGGAGTCGCTATCAGTACAATGGTTACACCGTTCGATCTTATATTGACGCGACTGTACAATCAGGGTAAGTAATACTTCCTTTCAATAATAAGTGATCTTATTGTATTTTGCAGGAGTTGACAGTGAAGGGCGTGGATTGTTATATAAAAACTATACAGATTGCGTCGTAAAAATTTATAAATCCGAAGGTTTGCTGGGGTTTTCAAAAGGGCTTAGTGGAAATTATTTTAGATTAGGGCCCCATACTGTGCTGTGTCTAATGTTTTGGGATTATTACAAAGATCTGTATGGCAGGTTTCGTGCTAAACATCGGCAGCAAGTGAATGTGTAGCATAGTATCTATAGTGTAATCGAACATGCATTTTACACTGAATTCAATGAAAGTCATTTTCAAACTGTCCAAATCGGTGGAAGGTTGATGGACATCGAATTCTGTGATAGATTTAGTTACAAATGTTGTACTCAATTAAACTGACCTTTACTTAATTGGCTCTTGCTCTTCGTCCAAGGAATTCATACCTAAAGTTGAGAGTCAAGTCCCGGCATTACATAGGTATTGTAATTGTAACTATGGTTACAGTTATTGCTACGACCGCCTCATTCACGTCGAAAATGTTACGTTACAAGCGAGTTAGTACACACATCAAACAATTCGATAACTTCCACAAATTTAAATGAATGATCAGAAATATAAATTTAAGTTGGGGACAACTCCATGTCATCAAGACATAAAAGTAAATTAGGCAAAAATTTACACCAAAAACGTAAACGATTTCAAACAAAAGGTTAACGGCATTCTTCATACACATCTTCCGAAGCCGGTACTGAAATCGTGACATCCTATATATTTACAACTCTGAGGAAAAACTGCAGAGCCACCTAACTTTCAAGTCGAAACGACGGACGTTTCGCTCAATGAATAACAAATACCATTCATTGGCTTGGCGATATGGAGGGAACAAATGAACTCCTACATTGTGTAATCGGTTCTTTTATATGTTGGAACGTGAGACCTAATCGAGAAGAAAGTTTAATAAATCATATAAGTTCGTGGGTATAACAAAAGACCAAAACGAATAAATATATTACGCACACAACAAGGCAATACCATGGAAACCTTCTACGGGACAAAAACCCCGGCATAGCCCACACAAATACATGAAATAAATCTCTACGATAACAAAATGCAAAAAAGAAAAATACACAAATGAAACATCTCAAATTGTACGACAAAACTGAGGTAATTGAATCAAATCTAGTTAATCAAATTCATTTAAAAAAAATCTTAAATGCAAACGGACAACATGATAAATCAATTTCGTACAAAAAAAGAACATGTACGATCAATTGAGATAAAATGATAAATTGCATGTACAACAAAAACATCAAAGTATCGCTCTAAATTCCAAGCATCAACTTCAATTAAAGTAACACGTAAAGTACATCTGAGAATGCCAATAGTAAGTATCCCTGTCAAAATCCATTTCATAGAAATAAACAGAAATCCTCTCATCTGTCAAATCGCTACAGCGTTGCCCTAGTGACACTCGCTTTCTGCAATGTTTACAAACACGACGAGATGATGGCACGTTTTGATAAGCATCAAGGCATCTCTATCTTTATTTCTTACTCTGAGATGCGAATAATATAAACAACCCCAGACACGATCAACCAAAATCTTGTGCAAATGAAGTAGTATTTTGAAGATCAATCCACTGAATATTAAAGTACAACACAATCATGTTCCTGTCGTGGCAAATATTGACACCAAGAAGGAATAGATTCAGTATAAAGACCCATTTGAAAACCTGTTAGGTACTATTAAAAAAAGGCAATAAAGTATAAATAGGTATTATTTTTAGGTTAGGTATATTTATTTGACAGCTGTACCTGTATCTAGGTAAACCTCTCGCCAGGAAAGATTGCCGGTCATAGAACACTTGATCCCGGTCTACAATCTATGTTTTTCTAAAGATATGAGCGACTTTCGTTCAACATTGGCACGATCCTATTCCGGAAGTCGCTCGCGTCTTAAGAAAAACAAAGATTGTAAATCGACACAAGGTGTGCTTTGACCGGCAATCTTTCCTGGCGAGAATTATATTTTATTTGTTCGATACCTATCCCCAAAAAAATGCCTATTACAATACTGCATTTGAGTGTTCAAAACGGAGATTGTAATTCAGGTATAATAAAACAAATGTGCAGAATTAAAAATTAAACGAATGAAACGTCATAAACTTACTTGCGTTCATATGTACGAGTATTATGACGCCCCATTCGACGGTACGGGGATTGCAATGTGTTTAAGAAGTTGCCTATTTAACGCAAGTATTCGCTACTGTAAGCGGCTGCCATTTTTCCCTATTTCTCAGTTTGTCTATAGTGTATAAAGTCAATGATTTGGGTCGTCGTTGGCACACCCGTTGGACACCCTGTATCTATAATATCTTGGACAGATGACATCACAAAAATTTCCTACACAAACACATTGCATCTTGCATCAAAACTTCTCGAGTCATGTAGTCACTAGATGACGTTGCTAGTTTTACCGGTAGCTTAAAAATCGGTTAATCAGTAGTCTTGACCGTGAAATATCGCCGTCAATAATCGAGGTTATATTTTGTACGAAATGTGCAATAAGGATGTAATTTCTGAACTAAAATACGTGCAAAAACAATTTCTATGCGCCGTCCCAATTCCAAAAATTAATTGGAAGGTAAGTACAACATCCATGATTTTACACGGCACAAACATTCCTACATGGTTTTTTAGAACATATTTGACGTTTTTAACTGTGAATTACAAGAGAATTTGGTTTCACGCACTGTAAATTTAAGCCTAGTATTGGAATATCCCATTCAAATTAGTTACCAAAAGTCTTTCCTGAAACATTTGATAAACAGATTGGAAAGGAAGGGTTTGACGCCTAGTGATTGTCTGTATGACGCTTTCGGTCGTGTGGTGGCGCTGGGCGACGCCGGTCCGTATTTTAGACATTACTTTTTGGAAAATGGCAAAATAATAAGTCTGAAGGAAAATTCGAGCTTCATTTCGGAGGGCACGACCGGTCTGTGCAGCTGGCAGGTATTCGATTTGTTTGGCACTGTTCAGCAATGCTGGGAGGATCTTATTTCAGGCCTCGCTAGCTTTGTCAGAGTGGTGTTTGGGTAATGAGGAATTTCTGAAGGGTCAAGCTGTCGTGGAGCTCGGGTCTGGTGTGGGTTTGACGGGTCTGACCGTCGCTTTGTGCCAAGCGAAGCAGGTTTTTTTAACAGACGGCCATCCTTCCGTCTTAAAGGTGCTGGAGGACAATGTTCGGTTAAACTCTGGGTTGATTCCCACCGACACTGATGTACAGGTCCTTAGTCTACCATGGGAAAATATTGATACCAACCGTAATCTTCCAAGTGTCGATATTTTACTGGCAGCTGATGTTGTTTACGATTCAAGTGTATTCCCCTGCTTACTGAACGCTATTTTGCATTTCTTTAAATTCGGCACCAAAACACTTGTCATCGCATGTACAGAACGTAACCCTACCACACTGAAGCAGTTTTTACTGTTACTAGGTAAAGTTTGCCCTCTCATCTGGTTTGTTGTGAGTATTTTCTTTTAGAAAGTAACCATATTATCTATGAGGAACTGAAAAATTACTCTCAACATAATTTTCTTTGGTCAACAGAATCTCCAATAAAAATTTTTTTGTGCTCATTAAGGTAAGTTGTACCAATTATTTGTAAATTTGTTCATTGAAGTGTGCACAGTGTTAGCAATAATAAACAACTTTCTTAACTTTCCCTTCAAGTCATTTAGACTATACATCGCAAGTGACAGCAATTAAGCGTAACTAATCCAGGATTCTTAATGCAAATAGGTCATTAGATCGCGGACATTTTTCAGTGATGTAACTTACAGTTTCACTCACATTCCATTAAAGGCCATTGTGGTATTTATAATTTTGTCGGTTGGCAAATTAGTATTGAAACTGTCCATTTAATTCAGTACCTACTGATTCCGATTGTATGGATTTACAGTATGTAAATTTTTTTAAGTGCAAGTATCACAACAATTTTCTATGTTCTGCTCTAGTTCACATTATTATAGAAAATAACTAGCTATAGATGTACTTACTGTGGTTTTCTGCATTATATGCTTTGGCGTTGTTATTATGATTATGAAAAAGTGGGACAAGATTATAGTTATTAAAAACTGAGAGTGTTACATTTTTTTTTAAATAATCGATTGAAAAGTACAGTTCCATTGCGCAGGTGAATGGTACTTGAAATATATGACAAATATAGGTAAGTAGGTACTTGTTCCAATGTCGATCATGAAGGTGCAGAGTTGATCGAAGCAAACAAATGGACGAAGGAGGAGGAAAGGGAAGAAATAATGTTCTTAATTTCTTGTAGTTCAATGAATGGAAATCGGAATTTGAAGAAAATGTGAGGAAAAGTAAATATTAGGAAAATAGAAGATGTAGTGATTCATCCAAGTAAAGTAAGATAGTTAGTTATTGGGCACCGGAGGAGACACAGACATTTCAAAGCCGTCTGGCACACATTTTCAAGCTGTTGCTATTTAATGAAAGAAGAATCAAATCCTTTCGGAAATTTTACACAGTATTGTTAATAACCACAAAGAGGTAGCATGGGCGTGACGAACTTGTTTTTATACATTCAGTTCTTGACAAGGTTCTTGATATGTTCACATTCACGTGTCATTTTCCCTTTGCTAGTACCCTCTTCCTACATGCCGTTTTCGAGATATTCGCAACTAAAGTGTATACATCACCAATAAATATCTTTCGTCCAGGCGTTGTATTTTCCTGTCGCAAGTCTTTACACTCATCTGACACCCCGTTCTCGAGATATGAGGAATTATAACCGATCTCGATAAGGAGTGAGCAAGGACTAAAAAAGTGTGCCAAATGCTTGACAGAGCAACTATATATAGGCGTAGTATAAAGACACTGTGGTATAGGATTCTATTTGAAAAAATTAAGCTAGCTACGTTTTTTTCCGAGATACAGGCTGAAAATGAGAAGTTTGACTTTTTGGGATGTTATCGCATAAAAAACAAAGGTAAAAAGTCCGTTTATGAGATTTGACCCAAAGTTGGTATTTTTTAAATGCAACACCCTGTATATCAACGTCAATTTTTTGCATTATTTTTCCTGGTTACATTGATGTATGACAAGATTTTTAGCGCATTTTCTAACGAAGTTGGGTGCGCTATTGCAGCCACTTCCTCTGTCCGTCCGTCAGTCCGTCCGTTCGAGGCCGTAACTACTCGTACGGTTTTCATTATATTTAGTTCGTTCTTTTTGAATTCGGTAGCTTATAGCTCTGGCACCTGAGCCAAGAAAAATTTTTATGATTGTCGCACTGCGCAAGTGCCAACTTCCTTATTTATGAAGATATTTCTTTGAAATATCAACCATAGATGCTTCTAGTGATGAAAAACATGTAGTAAAAATCGAAAACTACAACTGTCGTTAGCAAAGCTAAAAACATCGCACATAGTCAAAATCAAATGCGCAGACTGCAAAATGCAAACTTTTTACTTTTGAAGATCTTTGTAAAAATTTAACCATAGACGCTTCTGGTGAAAGCAAACATATCGCGTATAGCATAAATTAAATGTGCGAACTGCGCAACGTCAACTTGCTGATTCATGGAGATATTATTTGAAATTTAACCATAGATGCCTCTAGTAAAGAAAAACACATAGCACCTATGGCCTTTTGGGAAGTAAGTACTGATCAATTGCTGGAAAATGCGCTGAAGTTACTCGCCTCAGGAAGAAAAACTTGTTTTTAACTTTTAGCTATGAACCAAAAATTAAAATTTATTTTTTACGGTTTTTAAATAGTAGGCCATGGATTCATGGAGGATTTTTTTAGTGCATTCATGGCAGTCGATGCCAATGAATAAAAATGGCTGACGGTAGAAATATCCTTTGATTATAGTGGGAAGTGTAGCAAATTGCTAACACTCCGCCCACTATAAAATAAGGGCAATAAATAAAAAATAAATAAAAAAAAATGATCAAAGGAAAAATGTTATTTCAAAATTTTGAAAAAAATGATATAATATAATATCTAATTAAGTATATAAAAATATATACAGTGCGTTTATCTTACACTGGAACATACGATTTTGATTTTGAATGCAATGTTATTTCCCTATGTTCCTAAAAAATACGCGTAAACCTAATAGGAGTAGTTCAAATGGGTAGTAGGTGCAATGTACAACTGTCACTTTCAAATCTACCGCCTTGCAGATAAATTTAAAAAATGCTGTCGTTAAAGAGATGAAAATTAAAATGATAAATTTATACAAAGGTCACAATAGTGCAAAACAAGTTCGCGATTTACTTGCAGTCCAGTATCCTTCCATTTCAACGTACGGTTTTGGTCAGAAGTAATGTCCCTCGATTATCTCAAGTGTAGCACATAATTAATATACCGGATCTCCTGTGAGATTTGAGCTTCTTTTCAACATGAGGAAAATGTCTAAGATTGAAATGAAATTGAACTAAATCACGGAGAAGCTGACACATTGGTACTTTTTCTACAGTTGCAGTTTCTAAGGGAGGACATTACTTCTGACCACGACTGTACATAACCTAAAAATAATTCAAGGCTGGTTCAGTTTTGACTCGCACAAATTTCGAATACGTGTGTATAGTTGTGAACCACACATATTCTATAGGTTGATGCGTTTTTTTAAAACTGGAACATAGGGAAATGCATGCAAAATCGTATGTTCCAATATAAGATAAACACACTGTATACATATGTTGTGTTACATCAATGTATTCCGGAAAACGAATGCAAATAATAGACGTTAAGATATATATGGTGTTTAAAAAATACCACATTGGATCAAATCTCAGAATGTTTCTATCTTAATCACGATGTGGGAGTGTATCGTGATCTTAGTTATTTATGTATTATTGCCCCTCTTGTTCTGGGCCCTCGACAGGCTTACAGAGTGACCCGCATAATGCATTTAGAGGTGCTCCTAAGTTGTTCTATACTGAAAATGAAAATTATATGGGTAGCAAGATATGATAACATCACGGAAAATGAACGTTTCGTTTCCACCCTGTATCTTACAAACAAACGTATCTAGATTGATTCTGTTTGTTTAAAAGTTTCACAAAAAAGTGGCACGGGATCGCGAAACCCGCAAGTCACTATCTAACACGGTCACTGGAGGTACACTGCTGGAAGCTAAAATTTCGTTCCTATCTTTGAAACCTTCCCCTCCTCCAACGATATAATAAGTGGTCGGAGAGGTTGGTAAAAATTAAACTCGTTTTGTTGAGACCTTTTATTACAATACTATGAACAGTAGAACCTGCCCCCCCCCCCCCCCCCTCTCTTCAAATTGCACCAAACATTAACATTGTGAAACTATGATTCTTAGTTGATGGCAATACTATGAAGACTAGAACCAGCCTCCCCCCCCCCTTCTCTCTCAACTGCCAAATTCAACCCGACAATGTGAGGCTGCTGAGGCTTCTCAGTTCATAATTATCGAAACCTTGCGTTTGACTTGTTCCCAAGGAAATTTAGTACACAAACAATTTGTATTGTGTCAGGAATAATCGCAATAGAAGAGTAATTTACTGACACGTTTTATTTTTAAATACAGCATCTCCAGAAATAATTTATATGAAGGGGGGGGGGGTACTTTGGACAAACGCTCGCTTAAAAGATGCGGAAAAAAATAAAAAATGTCAAATTCAAAACGTAACCTTATTTTTTTTAAAACAGAACACCCTGTGTATTTTAATCTAAAAAATAGCAAGTTCTTTTTTAAAAAATGTAACACACTAAGGATGATATTCTAAAAAGATCAAGTGATTCAAAAAAGATTAAAAATGATTTAAAAAAATTTTAACCGTTTTTGAATCAATGTATTATTAATTATTTATAAAAATATTAGGTCCAATTCGATAACTTTTTTACTTGATCCCGTATACTTACTTTAAAAACCGCAGATTATTCAACAATCATTAAGAAACTTTTGCAATAAACATTTCGATTTCTGTTAACTCTTTTGCCAAAGAAAAAGTGCCAAAGCGGTGACATTACATTTGGTATGGTACTGACTATGTCCAGTTTGAATTTCATGCAATTCGGTTCATAACTAACGGAGATCTCAAAAGGGCGTTCCTTATTTTTTGGTCCCCATTGCCAATTCACGAACTCCGATCTACAAATTTGACAACGAATCGACCTGCCAAACTTCATCGTAATCGGTCTATCCGTTCCCTTTTAAATCGATGAATATGAAACCATCTCGACCTTGACGCTAAAATGGGCGGAGCTACTTACAGCTTGATCTACAGCATTGCTTAAATGCTTACAACAATAGAAAAAATTTGAATTGAATGGTGTATGAGTATGCCCGCTTTTACACGGGGACACAGTCGGCCGGAGACCGGCATCTCGGATACATTTGAAACCTTGCGTCTTATGGAACCGTTCACACACGCATACTTCTCGGATACAGTATCGGCGAGTAAATTGCGATCTCTCACTAGTCCCGGCGATTTTAAGATGTTGGGCTTTGGTTCATTGGAATTGTTTGCACGAGGAGAGTTTTTCATTGGTCCGCCATTACACCGTCGAAAAAGTACTTCATCCACTGCGAAAGAGAAGTTTAGAATGCCCAAAGTCTGCGAAGTATATTTGACATAAATTCTGATGACAGACTGTATATCTCTGTTTCTATCTCGCATACAGGATCCCCTTGTAAAAGCGGTCTAAGGATAAGGAAGGGGCTATTTACTGTGAAGGGCTCTCTTGCATTTTCCATAGATTTTAACCTGATCAGAAATAGATTACTATTAAGTCTCACTGTACTTGTCTCGGTGAATCAACAAAGTTTGCAGCGACTGCATACATTGGCTAAACTACCATCTAGTTAAAATTCATCTACCACGACTATCACACATTTTCCAAAATTTGAAGATATACAGCTTCCGGTATCATAAATTTTACATTTTTTCCCCTTGTGGTACTAATAAATTCTCAAGGAAAATGTTATATAGATATCCTACTAGATCACGTTTTATGACCGTTTGCTACCGCACTAATTAGATTGCTATAGTTGGATAATCAAGCGAGTGTGCTAACAATTCAAAACAAGTCATTATGGAAATTTATCTCATAAATATGATGTTGCCAATCTGACATGCAGATTTTTGCGTAAGTACCACTTCTTATGGTACTATGACATTCTGATGCTATGCAGATTTGTTTTATGTTCACACGGTCGGCTTCTGCTACCGCCTCGCGCTATTTTAATTCGAATTTTTCCAAAATAATGATAGCACATGTCTAATTAGTATGAAGATGGATTGCCACAATGAGAAAGGACGATAAAATCTCGTCATTTTCTCGCAACTAGACCGACAGATTGTCTATTATGCGTGATAGTGAAATTTGTTGTTTGAAACAAGTTGTAAGTACAGTTAAGTTCACATATGAATCATGACACATGAATCATGTGTAATTTGAGACTTCCGTTACAGTTGCCGCTTTAGAATTTTTGTACCCTTTTACAAGAATAGATCAGGTAAACAATTTCTACACGACTCAATATCCACGCGGCACGCACCTTCTTTCTTTAGTCGCGATTTAATTTATAATACGATCGTTTTGCGTGTCCAGTTTTTCCTATTGTCATTCTCATCCCGTGTTTTTACTATTACTGTTAATGTAACTGTACTTATCTAGACCAGGAAGGATAAGTGCCATTTCATTTAGTGAGCCGATACTTACCCCACGCACTAGAGCGCATAAATAAATAGTTGGCTTTTTGAGTGACAAAT